GGGTCCCACTCCATTTTGTACTCCAAGATAAGAACCGCCTCCAAAGACCAACCACCGCCCAGGAACCGAAATAACCCCCCCCCCAGGAGGAACACAACACTCACCAAACAGGGAGGGCGGGAGGGAAGCTCTCTCTCCCACGTCCAGCTCCCAACTGACGCCCCTCCCCAGGACACCCCACCCTAAAGTGCAGAAGACCCCACCTACACTCTCCTCTACCAACCAGATCCCCCAGCTATCCTTTACCAACCCTAATACTATCATTAACCCTCACACGTCTTCCTTCCCACTCTGGGCCTAGTCATGCCTGCCCTGCGCTAATTCTTCTCTTCTTTTATCGCTGCGGGCATTTCTTTCCAGGCTCAGGGAACCGCTACTAATATTTACTATATCAAAAGTTCACAGTACATTAGTGTGATGGTCACTTAGAAGAATGCTTCTTATGTTTGTGTTCATTGGGAAGACTCTCTCCCTTATAGATAGCTACAAAGACCATTGTTTATAGTGGTTACTCTTCTGAGAGGCAGAACTTGCTCATTGCTCAAGGAGCCCTTAGCCACCCTGAAGAAACCTTGGTTGAGAAAGGCTGGTACAGGGGCAGACTGAGAACTCATGGGGCCCCCGAGCAATAGGGGATCATGGGGCCCATGTGTCCTTGCCCAAACTCAAAAAAGGCTATGAAAAAGGTACCAGGGGCATCTCATGGGGCCCCCTACTGACCCGAGTTTCCAAATGGTCAGTTCGCCCCTGGGCTGATATAGCTGGTAGTAGTTAGCCACACTCAACTGGACTTGTACTGTAATGTTGTAAAGATCCAACATCCAAACATAAGCAGAAGAACTTGGTATTTGCACACTGGGGACACACAACGATCTCTCAACAAATAGATGACCCAACATAGGAAGGTAATTCTAAAGCTGACCTTGGTTCCTCCCTGCTGAGCCGGGCAAGATTTGAACCATCTATGGACAGGCTGATTGTTCCCAAGTCGAGTGTTCAACAGTGCGATAGAGCCGGTGAGTCGGAAAGAAAGGCCCGGTTTATACCCAAGACAAGCAGAGCAACTTCAACAGGTGTCCATTTTGAGTCCCTGTGCACATGCCCGCCCCCCAGACTAAAAAACTGCTCTTCAACACTCACCCTAAAGGAAATGAGCTCATCATTCTCCTTAGACGTGTCCCATTGGACCCTTTCACCCCAAAGAAAAATGTGCTGTTGGCTTTTGGCTTTCACGGGTGGATGTTTGTGACTCAAAAACACACCTTACAATCAGGGCCGGGACAAGGGTGTGGGCAGGAGGGGCGGCTGCCCTGGGTGCAGAGGTTTGCTGTATGTATGGGGACACCAGCGAGCTCATTCTGACATCAGCAGGGGTGTACTGACAACTCGTGGGGCCCCCGGGCAATAGGGGATCATGGGGCCCCTGTGTCCTTGCCCACACTCAAAAAAGCCTATAAAAAAGGTACCAGGGGCATTTTCATGGGGCCCCCTACTGACCTCAGGCCCTCGGCCAGTGCCCGAGTGCTCGAATGGTCAATCCACCCCTGGACATAAGGCAATTTGACGAGCAGATGACTGCTGGGGGTAGCATCCCCCACATAATGAAGGTGGGGGCGCACTTTGGCTTCTCTCCGTTGGGTGGTGGCTGGCTGGATGACCTTGTCCCGACACTGCTTACAATAGTAGTCCACACCCAGTGGCTCAGGGGTCCCATGCAGTTTCAATATAAAAAGGCTATGACTTGCGGAAGCTCGTACTTCCCTTGATCAGCTGCATCCCAATATATTTCACACGAGGACAAAGCCAAGAAAAGAATGGTCTGAATGATATCTTTTTGACTGAAAAGGTTAGAGGGTCACACTACTAAAAAGTGAGATTTCATTGACAGGTGGAGTCTGGTAGGTTGTGTCAGCCTCTGCCCTTTTCTATTGCCTGGAGGCTCCAGCAGTGAGATCTGCCTGCCTTCGTCTTCGGCTTTCTTCCCTTCCAGATGAAATAATTTAGTTACTCAGCAACAGCGATAGACTCCTCAATGCAAGAACCCGCCATCAGATCCCTTCTACACGGCAGTCAGCCTTCCAGGATCCGGCCATTTCACATGAAAGTAGATGGAAACTCGTACTGGATGGCATTTATTTGTCTAAAGCTCTGTTTATAATAAACAACTGCCATTTTTTTCCATAAAATCCTGTTTTTCACTTCATCCTTTTTTTATCTCTTCCTCTGGTCTTTTATAGCCACTTCCTGTCTATATGCATTCACTCCAGTGTCAGCCACATTCATTGCTCAGGACAATGGTGGACCACGCATTCGTAGTGTGTGCTGGCACAGTATTTGTAGTCTCCACCATGGACGCATGTGACAGGGTGACAACGCAGGAGCACAATTAGAAGAGAGTTGTCACCCTATAACAGGAAGTGTCTGAACAAGGACCTTCATGGCAGGATCACCAGGTATTGATTTAACCACATGTCTACCAATGATCTAGGTACCGGCTTTAACAGTTGGCGAAGGGCTTTCTGGTAAAAGTGGTCCAAACATCAATTTTAAGTTGCCCCAAGATGACCCCCCACTGATGGCACCCACATTGGTTCTCCCGTTGTCCTGGGCAGCCCTGGATCACAGGACACTGCTTGTACGGTAAGAGCAGGAGGAACTTGGGGAACATCGGTTCCCGGATCCCCCCTGTGATGAACAACCCCGGAAGTGATATGTATTACGTCACCTCTGGAGCCTAAAAGACGCCCACCATGGCTCCTGGACTCTTCTATTGTCCTGCTGCAGCCATGAGTGGTGGGTCAATTTTAAGGGGCTCTGAAGAGGACCCCCTGCTCTTTATAGCCACTTCCTCTCTATATGCATTAACTCCAGTGTCAGGGCAATGATTATCAGTGCAGCTTCAAAAGTGCCCATCAGTGCCACCCATCAGTGCCCAGCAGTGCCACCCATCAGTGCCGCCCTGAAGTGCCCATTAATACCACCGAGCAGTTTTGCCCATCTGTGTTGCCAGTCAATGCTGTCAGTCAGTGCCGCCCATCAGTGCCGCCTATCAGTGCTCATCAGAGCCGCCTATCAATGCCCATCAGTGCTGCATATCAGTGCAGCATCATCAGTGCCTCCTTCCCACCAGTGCCGCCTCATCAGTTCTGCCTATCAGTGCCGGCTCATTAGTGCCCATCAGTGCTGCCTGTCATTGAACATCAGTGCTGCCTATCAGTGCCACCTCATCAGTGCTGCTCATCAATGCCACCTCATTAGTGCCCATCAGTGCTGCCTATCAGTGCTGTCTCATTAGTGCCCATTAGTGCTGCCTATCAGTGCCCATCAGTGCTGTTTATTAGTGCCCATCAGTGCTGCCTATCAGTGCCCATTATTAGTGCTGCCCATCAGTGCTGCCTATCAGTGAACATCAGTGCTGCCCATCAGATCCGCCTCATTAGTGTCCGTCAGTGCCGCCTCATCAACGCACATCAGTGAAGGAGAAAATGTACCTGTTTGCTAAATTTTATAATAGAAACAATGAAAAAAAAAAATTTTTCAAATTTTTTTGCTCTGTTTTCTTTTATAGAGCAAAAAAAAAAACAACCCCCCCCCTAGTGGCGATTAAATACCACCAAAAGAAATCTCTATATGTGTGAAGAAAAGGATAAAAATGTCATATGGGTACAGCGTTGCATGACCGCGCAATTGTCATTCATAGTGTGACAGCGCTGAAAGCTGAAAATTGGCCTGGGCAAGAAGGGCGGTAAAAGTGCCCGGCAGGCAAGTAGTTAAACATTTTTTCTTGCCTGACGATCCTCTTTAATCGAGTTATTTACACAACAACTATCGCTCCTCCGGATATCGTCCTTTTGTTACACGACGAGCGCGCAGCGTTGCTGTCAAATCCTATCTCAGGCTTTTGTGCATCTCGTGTCTCTTCACCGAAAGGCATCGCTACCTGCTGTGTGCCGGGTGGATCCCATCAATCTCCCGCCAAAAAAAAAACTTTCCTGACGCTCGGCGACTCTATTTGTCCTGCGATGGAGCGATGTCATACATTATGCAATTCCCGTATTTGAATATTTGGAAGATGACTTGTCCCCCTCAGCGAGGTAACATGTGCCTCACATTTCAATGGGAGGGATTTCTGGATGATTAAATCTCTTGCGTGCGACCGGCGCGGAGAGGTTAATATTATTACAGGTACTTATATAGCGCCGTCAATTTATGTAGCACTTTACATATATATTGTACATTCACATCAGTCCCCCCGCCCCCGAGGAGCGTACAATCTAAGGTCCCTAACTCACATCCATACATACACATATTATTATTTATTATTATTATACAGTATTTATAAAGCGCCGATAGTTGGCTCAGCGCTGTACATTACAAAGGGGGACAGAACATGTGACAGAACAATACCAATACAAAGCAAAACATGAGGGGATTGAGGGCCCTGCTCCTTGGAGCTTACAATCTAGGAGGGAGGGGATGGTGGCACAGGAGGAGATAGCTGTGGGGGATGGAGTGGTAGGAAGAGTGGAGGAGGTCGGCAAGTTAGCAGGGGGTGGGGTAGGCTTCCCTGAAGAGATGGGTTTTCAGGGTGCGCCTAAAGGAGAGGAGAGTAGGTGATAATCTGATGGGTTGGGGCAGGGAGTTCCAGAGGATGGGTGACACCCTGGAGAAGTCCTGGAGGCGGGCATGGGAGGAGACCAGGGAACTAGAGAGAAGGAGGTCTTGTGAGGAGCGGAGTGTGCGTGTTGGGTGGTACTTGGATATTAGGTCGGTGATGTAGTTCGGGGCAGTATGGTGGACAGCTTTGTACGTCAGTGTTAGGATTTTGAATTTGATCCATTGGGCAATCGGAAGCCAGTGGAGGGATTGGCAGAGGGGGGTGGAGGACACTGAATGGAGGCCAGTGGAGGGATTGGCAGAGAGGGGTGGAGGACACTGAGTGGAGGCCAGTGGAGGGATTGGCAGAGGGGGGTGGAGGACACTGAATGGAGGCCAGTGGAGGGATTGGCAGAGAGGGGTGGAGGACACTGAGTGGAGGCCAGTGGAGGGATTGGCAGAGGGGGGTGGAGGACACTGAATGGAGACCAGTGGAGGGTGATTGGGAGGGGGGGAGGACACTGAGTGGAGGCCAGTGGCAGGGAGGGGGGGTGGAGGACACTGAGTGGCCAGTGGAGGGATTGGCAGAGGGGGGTGGAGGACACTGAATGGAGGCCAGTGGAGGGATTGGCAGAGGGGGTGGAGGGCACTGAGTGGAGGCCAGTGGAGGGATTGGCAGAGGGGGGTGGAGGACACTGAATGGAAGCCAGTGGAGGGATTGGCAGAGGGGGGTGGAGGACACTGAATGGAGGCCAGTGGAGGGATTGGCAGAGGGGGGTGGCGGAAACGGAGCGGTTGGAAAGGTGAATGAGTCTGGCAGCCGTATTCAGGATGGACTGAAGCGGGGATAGCCTGTGGCGAGGCAGGCCAGTGAGGAGGGAGTTGCAGTAGTCGAGTCGTGATATGATGAGGGAGTGGATGAGCTGTTTAGTGGTTTCTGGGGTTAGGAACATGCGGATTTTGGCGATGTTGCGGAGGTGGAGTCTGCATGTTGCGGAGGTGGAGTCTGCATGTTGCGGAGGTGGAGTCTGCATGTTGCAGAGGTGGAGTCTGCATGTTGCAGAGTGGGAGTCTGCATGGGTTTGTTAAAGATTGGACTTGGGGCTGGAAGGATAGGTTGGAGTCCAGAATGACACCCAGTACTCTGGCCTGCGGGGCGGGTTTGATATTGGCGTTGTTGGATGTGATGGAGAAGTCAATGGGGGGTGATGTCCGTGCTGGGGGGAAGACAAGAAACTTGTTTTGGAGAGGTTCATACTAGGAACAATTTAGGCAGGAGCCAATTCACTTACCAGCATGTCATTGGAGAGTGGGAGGAAACTGGAGTACCCTTGCAGGCACAGGGAGAACATGCAAACTCCAGTCAGGTGGTGTCGTGGTTGGGATTTGAATCAGCAACCCGAATACTGCCAGGAGGAAGTGCTAATGATTGAGCCACTGAGAGCCATATGAACGGCACACATGAGGACTCTGTATGGTTTGACAAGTCTGCTGATGTCTTTTAGAATGTGATTGTCTCTTCTATTTTTATATTAAATCATACCTTGTGGTTTTACATTGTTTTTTTTGGGGGGATTTTGCCTTCGAGCGATTTGAGAGTCAGACTCTTACTCTGCGCACTGGCTGGAGGAGTTTTCACTTTGGATGTGACACCCTAATCTACTCCAGCATTGGTTGACCTCTCCGCTTCACACGGGGGTCACTGCGTTCTGGTGAGAAGCTACAGAGGGCCTTCTTGGAGTGCGGGCTTTCTTTCATCACTAGACAGTTTTTCAGTTCCAGCAGGGGGGACTGGCCATTCAGGCACCCGGGCACTGCCCGAGGGCTCGGGGTCAGTAGGGGGCCCCATGAGATGCCCCTGGTACCTTTCATAGGCTTTTTTGGGTGTGGTTTGAGTTTGGGCAAGGACACAGGGGCTCCATGATTTCCTATTGCCCGGGGGCCCCATGAGTTGTTAGTCCGCCCCTGGTTTCCAGTTATCGCTTTGAACTTTTATTCAGCACTTTTTTGTGGTGTTTTGTTAAGAAGAATTATTTTCACAGCACTTGAGCGTATTATCATTGGACCTTGTAGATGGCTTTATGGCCGTCATTTATATTTCATTACAGGAGATGAATTTGAATGTATTTACAGCACTGCATTGTTTTCTTATTATCATGGATTTTATATGTAGTTTGAGTTTATGTACACTATATTGCCCCAAGTATTGGGCCGCCGGCCTTTCCACGCACATGACCTTTAATGGCCCCCCCCAGTCTTAGTCCGTAGGGTTCAATATTGAGTTGGCCCCGCCCTTTCCACACACATGACCTTTAATGGCCCCCCAGTCTTAGTCCGTAGGGTTCAATATTGAGTTGGCCCCACCCTTTCCCCTCACATGACCTTTAATGGCTCCCAGTCATAGTCCGTAGGGTCCAATATTGAGTTGGCCCCGCCCTTTGCAGCTATAACAGCTTCAACTCTTCTGGGAAGGCCGTCCACAAGGTTTAGGAGGGTGTCTATGGGAAGGTTGGACCATTCTTCCAGAAGCACATTTGTCAGGTCAGGCACTGATGTCGGGGGAGGAGGCCTGGCTCGCAGTCTCCGCTCTAATTCATCCCAAAGGTGTTCTATGGGGTTGAGGTCAGGACTCTGTGCAGGACAGTCAAGTTCCTCCACCCCAAACTGGCTCATCCATGACATCACTTCTCACCAAATATGAAGGCTGACATCACTTCTCCACTAATATGAGGGTGACATTAGTGACATTTGGGATGGCATCCTACTCCAAAAGTATGAGGGATGACATTATCTCTAATCTAAAAGTATGAGGGATTAACTGCTAATTACTTCTCACCTCCCCAATATGAGGGATGACATCATTAATCTGAGGGATGAATCACTACTCCCCAAATATGAAGGATGACATCACTTCTCAGCTAATATGAGGGATGACATCACTACTCCCCAAATATGAGGGATGACATCACTTCTCTGCTAATATGAGGGATGACATCACTCTCTGCCCAAATATGAGGGATGACATCACGTCTCCCTAAATATGAAGGATGACATTAAGTTGGGGGTGTTTGCTCTCAAATCTCTGGCTGGGGCAACTCTTCTCTGGCAAAGAAACATTGTGAGCTGCCGGATGAGAGGCAGGAGCGGGGCACCATGCAGGTTGGTGCTCTTGTGTACAAATGCATAGGGGTGCCATTACCAAACACTGACACCGCTACATGTCTCCTTAATGACAGCGCATCTCTGTATGTCATACGTAGCCTTGGACAGTTGTCACCAGAATAGGTGTCCCCATGGGAAGATTTCCCATCATTTCCTATTCTGTTGAAAACTGTACAATTTTCCAATACTTTTCTATATCGATAAATAGGATGAATCTGCTTACAGACAGCAGTAGAAAATTGGCAGTTGAGTTTTCCATAATCCTTCCATACACCCCCCCCCCCCCAAAAAAAAAAAATTACAAAAGTTTTGGTTGTGCTAGTGCACATTAATAATCATGGCGGAATCTAGGATTAATCTGAACACACCTAATGGCATCGATGGCTTCACCCACCCAGACATGATCCCGCGCTTTCTCCAGTCGATCACATTCAAATACGAAGGTCCTAAAAATGTCTCGGCTGTCCAGTTTATGGTCAAACAATGCTGACAATGGAGCTCAAACCCCTTTAGTTAATGAAAAGCCCATTTGGCGTATTGGTATATCATGTTATTTCGAAAATATTAAATCAAGCCCCATAAATGTCTGATTATGTAATGTAACTACACATCCTTTATTGATACCATCCATCACCACGTGGACACTTTTATTTGCCGGGACGAAGCGTACATATTTCTACATGATGGAGAGGGAAAGGTCAGACTCGGATTCCTGTAAGGTTCGGTTTAATAATATTGCGGTGACTCACTCGGCCTTAAATGGCCACAGATATCGCCTCGTGTAGTTATTTAAGGTAAAAACGGTAAAGGTTCAACTAAAAGTGTATCTAAAAACCCAAAAACAAAAATGTGACCTACGGTAGATTACCAGTCCTTAGATGGGATGACTGGATTATTTTTACTTTGATCTTTTTAGGCTTGCTACATGTGCCAGTCTCTCCCCCTATAGATCCCTGGGTGCGCTGATCTACTCACTCTGTCCTCCTTGCTCCCATTGTTCCCAGGCCTTGATCCTGTTCTTGCCATGATGCTGAATGAATCCTCCTGAGGTAGCCCAGGACCAGCCTGGAGGCCAGCCCCCCTAGACCTAAGGCACCCCTCCCAGGCCACCAACAGCTCCCTCAGCACTCCATCTTCCACCCGACTCCCCTGCCAGCCTGATTCTCCCATATTTATGGTTTCACCACTCTACCAGAGCTTCCAAACCTGGGATTGGTTCGATTCCCATAAACATGCCGATTGGGTCTCCACCCCTTCCACCCACTGGCTTCTGAAGATTCCATGGCCCTCCAGAACCAGGTGGAGGTGATATAGTCTAAACCTGTTAAGCCATCCAGCCTCACCTGCAGAAACCCAACCTAATCACAGACTCACACAGTTACGATGAATCATACACAATAAATGTAATATTCATCATTACAAGATGAAAAAATAAACAGAAAGCAATCACCATTTTTGTGGCATCACTCTGAGGGTAGCTTCACTATGCGTTTCATAGAACATTAGTCTACTTCTTCAGGAGAACCTCACAGCTAAATACATGGAGTAGAAAGAAATACATAATTATGACCTGGATATCCAAATTATCTTTCATATAATTCCTTTATCACAAGCCTAGCTGAGGGCCGAGATGACAAGAAGGCTTCCTTTACATCTCTGATTCAGACACCCCTGGAGGCAGGCTTGGTTGTGAGGTGCTCATGCAGATCGACAGGAAAGTAGTTGGCTGGGACACTGGAACACACAACAGACTGCAAGTGTGGTCTGGACAGGTGGTGGTTGGTAGAAAGCAAGTAGAATGACAATCAGAAGACAAGCCAAGGTCACATCTGAAGGTCAGGTATGCCACAATCAGGATCTAGCCAAAGTCAAAACAGACATCAGCAGAGATATGCCATGGTCAAGAGCTAGCCAAGACCAAATAAAGAATCAGCAGGGACAAGCTGTGGTCAGGAAATAGGCAAGGTGTAACCGGGGATCAGCAGAGACAAGCTGTGGTTGCAATCTACCCCAGGTCAAAGTCGGAATCAGGAGAGACAGGCCATGGTCAGGAATCAACCAAGGTCATACCAAGAATCAGCAGAGACAAGCCGTAGTCAGGAAGTAGCCATGGTCAAATCAGGAACACTGGAGCACACAAGTAATACTGAAACACACAGCAAACTGGAAGCGTGGTATGGACCTGTGTGGTGGTCGGTAGCTAAGGAGATAGATAGCAGACAGTGTCAAGGTCAGAAGACAAGCCAAGGTCACACCGGAAGGTCAGCAGAGGTAAGTCATAATCAGGAGCTAGCCAAAGAAAAAACAGAAATCTGCAGAGATAAGCCATGGTCAGAAGCTAGCCAAAACCAAATTGGGAATCAGCAGGGACAAGCTGTGGTCAGGAGCTAGTGGAGTTCCAAAGGGGATCAGCAGGGACAAACCGTGTTTGAGAACTACCCAAGGTCAAACTGGGATTCGGGAGAGAAAAGTTGTGGATAGGAATTAGCCAAGGTCAAACCGAGAATCAGCAGAGACAAACCTTAGTCAGGAAGTAGCCAAGGTCAAATAAGGAACACTGGAACACAAAACAGACTGGAAGCGTGGCCTGGTCAGGTGGTGGTGGGTAGCTGAGAAGATAGACAGCAGATAGAGTCAAGGTCAGAGGACAAGCAGACGATACACCAGAAGGTCAGCAGAAGTAAACTATAATCAGAATCTAGCCAAAGTCAAAACCGGAATCAGAAGAGATAAGCCATGATCAGAAGGTAGCTTAGACCAACCTAGGAATCAGCAGGGACAAACTGTCGTCAGGAACTAGTGGAGGTCTAACTGGGGATCAACAGAGACAAGCCATGGTTCTGAACTACCCAAGGTCAAACTGGGAATCAGGAGAGACAGGCCATGGTCAGGAATTAGATAAGGTCA